CCTCTCCCCCCGCACCGCTCTCCGCCTCCCTCGCTGTCCGGTGCCCGGGCGGGGGCCGCGGGGCTGCTGGTGCGGAGCCACGGTCCGGAGAAACGCTGCACCTTTGTCATGTGCACCCACTGTTCCTTTCCACGGGTGAAGTAGTTTCCCGTGAATTTTTTTGTATTTTTGCACATCTTCTACAGATGAAAGACTCACAGAACTGAGCTCGCTCCACGATAAAACTAATCTTCTTTTTTTTTTTTTTTTTTTTTTCTGCAAGCCAGCAGAAACAAACTACATCTAAATAAACGCTTCTAGTTAGGACTAAAACCACACTTATATGTGGGAATCGGTGGCATTAGTCGTGCTAATTACATTGCAGGGCTAGGTGTTTAGCCCAGAAAGTCAGAAAGCGACACCTCACGTTTTGGCTGTCAGTTAGGTATCAGTGCTTGTAGGTATTATGGTGTAGTCTAAAGCTCCAGCAGTACTGAGGGCTCCACATCCAAGTACTATAGAGATCCGTATCATCCCTCAGAGAGTTCCCAAGCAACTTAGTTACACTCTGTAGGATGTACAGATTTTTATTTTAATAATATAGTCATAATAATAATAAAATTAAAAATCTTGCCTAAATTTTTGGAATAAACCAAAAACCAGATCACTTTCGGGAAACGGATATTTTCAAATCACCCATAGTAGAGCACAGACAACATCCTCAATTTTACCAGTGCATTGTAACAGATGTTTCACTGTGGGAATTAAATCTGTGTTGTAGCTGTGACAGTCCCCTGGTACCTGTACGGATGATACAGGGGCAGGGAAATGCAGAAGCCACGCTTCCGTTGTCAGCAAAAGTAAAGAAGCTTAACCAAAGCTTTCTTGACCCCTTCCTATTCCTTTATAGCACAAAGATATATTCTTTTGGATAATTTTTTGAATGAATAAAAATGTCTGAATGTGTATTTAAGCAGACATTTTTTTCTTACACGTGAAAAAGATCCTGAGAGTGCTGACTGCAGCAAAACAAACCCTGGTCCTGCATATACTTTGGGACACAACTTTACTGTGGCATAAGGTGCCCCAATGTGAATGAACAGGGTTTGCGAGGCATGGAAGAGCAAGACATGTGTAATGGGATTTGTAGGTCCAAATTCTTCTTCGCTGTCAGGTGGCTAGAGGTAGTTAGACCTTATTTTATGCCCTGTTTAATTGGGAATTAACTCTGAGTTCTTTCTGATGGCTTAAAGCTTAATTTTGCACAGGCCACGCTCTGCTGGTCTATGGTACAGCAGGTAAAGTCATTGGTTCTTTTGCCATAATTTTATATATGGAGTAAAATATAATTTAAAAAGAGGACAAGGGGCCTTAAATTAGAAATACTGGTCATCTAGTGGCCTGGCCAACAGCTGGTTCCTGCTGCTGACTCTGCACTGCTGTGCCTCTGCCGGGATTGCGGCTAGGAAGGGAGGAGGTGGGGACAGAGCCAGGAGCGAGTCCTCAGAGATGTCAGGTGCTTGAGCACCCAAGGACAGTTTCTGCTGACGTAGGGAAGGGAAAGGAGAGATGTGCGTGGACAAGGACCCTCTGGAGCTGGTGGGATTTGCTTGTGCTCCCTGAGGCTCCGCAGGCGCTGTTACTACACGTGCTGCGTGGGGGCCTGTCGCAGTCAACACAAACTAAACCCATTTCTTCTTGACAGGCGGGTTCTGTGCAGGCTTACCTAGATCGGTGCTAGTGTGCTACGGATGTCACGTAAAGCGCCGTGCGTATTATGTTCTCTCATAACACAACAGGCTGCTTTATTAACCGTTGTTCAAAATAACCCCGGGTAACCTGTAAGTAAATTGTCTTTCCTAGTCAGGTCTCTACTCTGGTTCAAGACCCGTGGTTGCTATTATAGAACCGCAAGGTGGGAGTTTGTAGGACCACTGAAAAGTCATTATTGAATGTTTTGTTTGGGAAAACCAAGTAAAAACATAAACACTTTGAAACTGAATTGAAAGTTACTGATTCTGAACCCAGGGTCCCGAAGTCAGGTTGATGCCGAGGGAGAGTGTGATCTGCAGCTTAATAAAACTATATTGGCTCATTAAAAAGAAATGCCAGTTTAACTATGCAGCAACCACTGTTC